ATCTTTCTAGAAATTATTCTTTGAAAATTTGAACATGATGAATTTGAGTGAGAAAAATTATGAAAAAATTATATAAGGTCTGGAAATGATGTAGGAAGTATTCTAAAAGCTTTAGAAATTTCAGGGACCATTATGTAATTTTTGAAAAGTTGGAGGACCAATTTATAATTTTAGGTAAAGTTGTCTAATTGTCTAATAGTTGATGTACTATGTTGGAAATTGTTGTTTTTGGATTGAAATGAGCATTTAGATGTGAAATATGACCATTTTGGAAGTTTGAAAAGATTGGTGATTTAAATGCAACATTTACATAGTTAGTGTACCGATACACTAAGGACGTGTATCGATACACCCTTTGAAATGAAAATTTGAGTATGCTATAAGGAATACTTATATGTATAAATGTATAATGGTGTATATATCGAGCACAAGCAAGTTCTGAAATGACTGCAAAGTTATGATCAATCTAAAGCGATAAATCATAGAAGTGGATTTGGATATATAAAGTGTCAAGGTAAGTGCATACTAGTTGTAAATAACGTGTATGGAAATAAGACTCGCGATGAGTCTAATTCCAATATTTGATTACATAAATATATGAATGCTAATATGTGTTGGATATGACTATTATGTATGCATGAATACATGAATAGATTCATAGATGTTATATGTTATTTGGTGTGATAAGAATATGAATAGTTATATGATAACAATGTATGAATTATATGAATTAAATCTAAGTGGTTAAATGAAAAATGAGAATAGAATATAAGTTAAGAGATATTGGCATAAATGAGTATACAAATGTGTCAAATAAATTATATAGGAAAGTTGATATGTTTAAGTGGAACTATGATATAAACTTATTAGATTTCTGTGACATGAGTTAGAGAATAAATTTCCAGGAATCATATGTGAATATTTTAGAAATTAAGTAATGATAATTTATGAGAATATATGAAATTATAATACAAGCTATGTGGTATTGACATAAGTGATTATGTAAAACTATGAGGTAAGTTATATGGGATTGATATACTAACTATATGAAAGTATGTATATGAATACATGTATAAGTTTATATGTTATTATTCTATGTGCTATGTGAAGTATATATATTTGAACATATGTGAACAAGATATGACATGAGTGTTTACATGAACATCTGAGAAATTATATAAGTTATACGATATGATCTATGTGATTACATGCACATGTGATATATTTTACATGATATGAACCTATATGATATGGGTTATATGACAAGAATGATATACAACTACATGAAAACGAGTTATGAGATTACATGCTTATATGTTACAAGTGATGTGAATATGTGATAAATATGAAAGATAATGCCCATGTTATATGTAATGAGATCTAGAGGTATATTTGGCATGCCAAGAGTCGAGGGTCTACGCGGTCCTTCGGGATAATTCTATGTGGTCCTTCGGGACATATATGTATTCTTTGGAACATGTATGAGGTCTTTTGAGACACCTACTTGATCCTTGGTATATGTATATGATTCTTAAGGAATTTCTATGTGGCCCTTATGGACAATCTTATATGGCACTACGGTGCATTTCTACGCGGCACTTCGGTGCAATTCTACGTGGCACTTTGGTGCATTTATACAAGTTGTGGTGACAGCATATGTGCACAACCTCAATGTACTCGCGTACCTTAAGTTCTCAGTAATGTACATTGGCCTATAAAAGATATCAAAAGTATTTGCATTATTATATGATATCATGATATTATTGTTTACACTGAATTCCATGTGTACATGAGCTAATAAAAGATAATAATAAATACATTGTATGTGATGTATATATGCTTTGTTATATGAAATATGTTACAAGATTTATATGTGATACTGTGTGTATTGTTGAGTGAAAAGTATTATATGATAGTGATATTGATGTTGATAATAATGGTATATGTGCATGTATGCATTATGTTATATGAAATGTTCTATGGTTTTATTATATGTTTTATATACCTCACTAAGTCAACGACTTAGTGTGTGATTGTTTCACAAGTAGGTTTCGAGAAGAAGAATGAGTAAAGTTAAGCAAGACAGGTCAATTTCTCCTTTCCAAAGATCATATCATAAAAGAATTGAATAGTATGTATTTTGTAATATTGATATTGGTTGGCATGTAAATAAAGGTTTGAATACGATATGCTCTGATCAAGTTTTGTAATATTTTAAACACATTTTTGTAAATGGTAAATGTATAGCGATGAAAGGTTAAATTTTAGGAGTTAATGTATGTTTTACAGAACTACTGTAGTAGTATTCTAGCAAGGTATTAGTACATTGTAACAGGGTATCGATACCCCTCTAGAATTCTGGAAAATTTTAGCATTCGGTACTGTTCACGGTGTTGTTCACGATACTGTTCACACCATATAGTATTGTTCATAAATACATTTTTGCTTTAAAATTTTATAACGAACATAATTTAATAGTATATTATTGTATTTTCTTAATATGAGTTCAAATGTTTTGTTATTTTGTAAGAAAATGGTTTTAAAAAGTCAATGTGACATCTTGGACTCGTATATGGGTCGGGTACGTATTGGGGTATTACAAATGGCCTCCTAGAAATTTATCTAAGGCACTATGTATGTGCTACACAACGTGACTGGCCAAAGCTTTTGGACGTGGTACAATTCTTCTACAACTTGTAAAAGATTGAAACAACCAACCAAAGCCCATTCGAGATTGTAAATAGGCAGCAACTGCTTACACCAACACGGTCATAGCTGGGTACCAAGGACCCAATCCATATGCTTATCAATTTGCCAAGGAATGGCAAGACAAGCATGAGTTAGCCTGAGCCTTCCTAGATAAACCAAGGAAACGTACCAAGAAGTGGGTAGACGAAAATCGAAGGGACATAAATTTCCAAGAAGGAGACCTAGTCCTTGCCAAACTCACAAACATCTTACGCAACCAAGACAAATATAAAGGGTTGGTGTGAAGATACAAAGGACCATTCAAAATCAAGAAACGAATAAGTATCATGGCCTACAAGTTAGACTTGCCACAAACCATCAGGGTTCACCCTGTGTTACACGTGAGCCTACTCAAGCCTTTTCATCCAGACAAGGATGATCCCAACTGAAGTATTTCCAATCGAGATAAATTTGGAATAAAAGCCTCTTATGAAAGGGAAATCGAATCCATCCACGCTGAAAGAGCCAATGACCGAGTGGGGCATAAACCAAGGCACGAATACCTGGTTCAATAGAAGGGGCTTCCCGAAAGTGAGGGGAGCTAAAAACCTGCCGAAGCCCTATGGTAATTCAAAGACAATATCGAGCAATTTCATTCAAGCCAAGCGAAAAGGGAATCACTAGAACTAGTGGGGGAGAATGTCACAGACCGTGACCTTGAGGGCAAGTCCAACATCTACCAGCACACACACTCACGTGCACCAAAGCACTCCCAGGCCCAAATACATCAGGCGACGCACCAAGTCTGCCCCAAAATGCACCAAGGGATATGCCAAGTTTTTGCCAAAATTAGATAACGCCGAACACAACAAGACTCGGGCCCTCTCCAAGCCAAGACCAACCCTCTCTAAGAAAAGGGACAAACCACTTTCTTGTTCAAGTAGGGTTCAACCTTTAGACTTTTAACTAAAGTATAAATATACTTTTAGTTAGAGTAGAAGTAGACTTAGTCATTAACTCTTAAGGGATTCTCATTATAAAAGAGGCCTCTCCACCCCTATTGTATTCATTTATTCTTTATATTGGAAATAAGACTAACCCGGTTTCCAAGCCAAATACTCTTGTGCATCTCTTATTTCCATTCATACTCTTTTTGTTCTTACTTTTGCAACAAGTTAAGTAACCAAACTTAGGTTTTAAGGCTACCTTAGCTCCCCGCAACCTAGCAAAGCGACTAAAGGCCGCACGGACCAGCTAGCCAATAGTCTAGCCCCTTGTCACATACATAGATTGAATATATATATATATTTGCGCATTTGCACGTTTCCAAATTAAATAGAAATATTAGTTATGTTAATATATATAATCATTTAATTTTTAAAATACAAGATGGTTCTTTTATTTATTTACAAAATTAATAAAAAAAATTATTCCTTTAAACTCTCTTAGACGTTAGAGAGTTTAGGAGAACTTAAAGAATTGTTGATTTCCATTTTGAGCATAAATCATGAAAACCGGGATGTTTTCTAAAATGAGGCGAAAATTTCAATATTTTTCTAGATGCTAAAAAATATTTAAAACTGTCCGTAATAGATTTCACCTTTTTACATAAATTTATACGTGGATTTTCTAGGTTCTCGATAATAATTTCAGGTTCTCTAAGTTGTTAGGGAATCCGATATTATATTTAAAATTTTTAAAAGTTTACATTAAGTTAAAAATACATTTATTGCATTCATGAGTCTAAACAAAAATATTTGTGATCAAGTAAGCGTCGTTTTTACACATATTGTGAGGGTGTTAATCCTTCCTCACACGTAACTGTGCCGCCAAACTCAATTTTAGCTTTTTGCAGATTTAACATTTTTTTGTAACCCAATCTCACCTAAACTGATTGGTGGCGACTCTCAACATTTTTAAAAATTATGTATAAACTACATTTTTATTCATTCAGGTAAAAATTGTTGTGTACAAACATCTTAAACCGTCATATCATCCTCACAACGACCAATGATGATTTCTGTTAGTCAAAGGGTTAGTTTGAGTTTTTTCCTCGGTTTAAGGATCATATTGAATGCAAAATAAATGCAGGGGGTTAAATAGATTGTTTTAAAAAAAATTGAGGGATATCAGATATTATTAGGCCAATCTGATGATCATGGATTGAACTGAAATAATAGAAAATGGCAAAGTGAATGAAGCATTTCAAACCAAAGTGAAACCTAATTTAAACCAAGCTTGCAATCATTCTAACCGGTGACACTATATATTCAACAAACAATCATCTCTTTTGTTCATCCAGTACACCAAACATTACTTGGTAAGTTTGACATTATCTCTGAACAAAGCCAGAGAAAATTAAACTCGTTGAGCTTGGGAAAAAAACAATGTTGATAACGAAGACAATTCAGGGTCTTATCATTCCAGTTTCACTTCTCTTCCTTCTTCCATCCGAAGCAGGTGCCGATCTTTTATCGGTTGTTATTTACGTATTCTATCAGTTCCTCAAGTTAAATATGAATATTTGTTTGCAGTTGCTGCAACACTTGGAATCTGCTACGGTCGTGTTGCCAACAACCTCCCAACAACGTCGGAAGTGGTCAACATTCTCAAAACCAATGGCATTTTGAATGTCCGAATCTTCGATCCTGACCCGGTCACGTTACAGTCTTTTTCCGGTACCGGAATCAATCTAATGACAGGTGTTCCGAATGAAGTCCTCCCATCACTTGCCTCAGGAACGCCTGCATCGGCACTCCAATGGCTCCAAACCAACATATTCGCCCACATTGTTCCGAGCCAAATCCGATACATTGCGGTTGGAAATGAGGTCTTGCTCAAAGATCCATTCTATGCTCCCCATGTAGTACCCGCCATGGTTAACATTCACCAAGCACTTAAAACACTGAACCTTGATAAAACCATCAAATTATCCTCCCCACAAGCAGCATCCGTGCTCTCAAAATCGTACCCTCCATCCCTCGGAGCGTTCGATCCTTCTCTTCGATCCGTCTTGCTTCCTTTACTCAATTTCTTGCATGAGACGGAATCACCGTTCATGGTCAACGTTTATCCGTACTTCAGCTACACGAGCAGCACTTCGAATCAAATATCGTTGGACTACACACTGTTTAGAAGCAACGTCATGGTTCAAGACGGTATGTTGACGTACGACAATCTATTCGAAGCGACCATAGATGCAATTGTTCATGCGATGGAAAAAGAAGGGTTTGTGGAAGTCAGGGTGGTCGTGTCGGAGACGGGGTGGCCAAAGAGCGGAGGTGAGGAGGCCAGTGTGGAGAACGCATTGGCGTACAACGAGAATGTGGCGAGAAGAGTAGTGGCGAACGTCGGGACACCGAAGAGGCCTGGGGTGGGAATTGAGGTGTACTTGTTTGATCTGTTTGATGAGAATGGTAAAAGTGGAGATGAATGTGAGAAGCATTTTGGGATTTTTGGACTTGATGGGATCAAAGCCTACGACCTTAGATTTAATTCAGGAAATTAAGTTAACGTGTTAGCTGATAAAAGAGGATTGATCTTGTTTGTTCAATTCCTAGAACTTCACAACTTGTTCTAAAAAAGAAGTTGAAGGAAGAACTTCATTTTCTAGTTTTTCGAATTTGTTTTCCTCTTTTGTCAACTTAAGTTTATTTGGATTCCACTATGGTAAAAATTGAATAGGAAATCTAACGTACAATAGTAAATTAATATTTTATAAATTAATAATTTTTTAAATAATAATTTTTCGTTTCGATTTGAGCGTAAGATCTAAATTAATAATTTCGATAAATTAATAGGATAATAATTTTTTGAAATACCCTTATATAAATTTATGGTCCCTTCAGTATTATAAATTAATAATTCTATAAAATTAAAAATATAACTATGACAAGTTAGTAAAATATGATTCTATTTTTGTCTGCTTCTTAAAATTTAAATCTAACTATATTTCATCTCTATTATTCCTTACCGAAAAAGTTTTTGTATTGTGTTCTTATACTATAACAAAAAAATTGTGAAGAGTTGTTATCACTATGATTGATGTTGTTTATGTAGTGGTTGATTTCCTTGTGATACATGAACTTGCATAAGTTTTAACTAGTACAATGTACTACAATGAACTTTTTTTAGGGGTATGCGTTAGAAATTTGGGAACATAAAAATAACCAAAGTGATATCAACATAAAACAAGAGACAATATTTAACGTGATTCGACCTTGCCTACCTCCATAGTGAAATAAATAATAATCCACTATAATAGTAGAGAACACGAAGAATATAAATACATGATATCACATGTATCTCAAAAACTAGTAGAAATACCAAAATCTGGTATATCTCAAAATACTCTTCTAACATCTTTACAAAACTATCTATTAAACATAAACCCCAAAAGTTGAAATGATCCCAAGAAGGATTACACCCCTCCAAAATAATTCTATCTCACATAACCCTAAAGGTTAAGACAATCTCTATTTATATAGCCAAATGCTTAGTCACCAATAATTCTTGCCTAAATTAATATTTACTTTATTAAATAAAGTCAATTATCAACAAATTTTCAACCACTAGAATTACAATAAAATCTAACTTAATTACCAATTATAATTTAGGTCAAAATATGGTCTTCAAGTATTCAACAACTTCAATCTTTATGTAACACCCCAAATTTTGGGCTAATAGTTTCGGGTTTACCCGAGAGGTATGTATACCTCGAGGAATTTGTAATTAAACTCGTTGGGTTGAGTGTGGGCTTGATTGGATGTGAATTGAATCAAAAAGATTATAAAAATGGGGTTTTTACATATAATGTAAAATATTAGTGACTAAAATTATAGTTATACCATTGTTGAAAATGAGGTTGATATCTAGCATTTCAAATCAGATTTGGGCGTGGGATTTTGTGGGAAAAGAGATGAGCATTTTTCTCATTATCTTATCTTCCTTCCTTTTTCTCCATCTTCTTCTTCAAGCTTTGTAAATCAAGGGTTGTGGTGGTAAGGACTTCTTCCATGTTTCACTTAGCTTTAAATCAGTCTTTAAGTCTTCTAGCAACATTGTTTAAGGGTTTAGATATTTTCTTTTCTTGTTGACTATAAAAAATGGGTATAGAGTGCTCAAAGGAAAATAGAGAAGAGAAAACAAATGTAGATGAAGAAAGGAGCTTCATTTAGGTTCCTAAACTAAGGTCGTTTATTTTTAATCCTTTGTTGTGTTATGAAATTTCTAAACATGTTGCTTTGTTGGGGATTTGGATTTTTGAACATATTTGGGGGTTTTACATTATTCATGCTTAAATGATGTTTTTATGATGCTAAGTAACCCTAAATAACTCTCCTAAGCTTTAAAAATTGATTTGGGACCAAACTATAGTGTTTCCTGAGCCTTTTTCTAGGTTTTCTGGGTTAGGGTATTGATATTAGATGAAAAATATTGATATTGGCTGAAATGGTTGATTTTTCAGCATTTTATAAAGGAAGTATCAATACTCTAAGGAGAAGTATGGATACTGCAGCACTAGTAACGATACTGCAACATTGGTATCAATACTGAGGGTAACAATATTGATACTAGAGTAAATTTGGAATCCAATAACCTTTTTTGGTACCAATACTCAAAAGGGTATCGATTCTTGACCTAGGAGTATCGATACTATATGTGGGTATCGATAATACTTACTTCAGATGGTTAGTTTCAACTTTGTTAAGGCAAGTAAGAGTTATGGATGACCCGTAATGGTAGGATTTAGTCTTGAGGGACTTAAATGGTTAAAGGTGCCTAGAAACACGCTTAGAAGTGGGTTACGACCTAAGCAACCATATTAGATGTAATACTTCCAAGTAGATTAAATCAAACAGGTAATGAGTAATATCTAACAATGGATAATTTCGAAAGATGTTTCAGCGTGTGAGACAATGAATGGCCTGATGAGCGAGATAGAGGAAATCGAGTACCACATGAACACCTATAATCAAACATGAAAAAGTTACCTACCGATTCAAGGGTGGAACGATAGGAAATATGATGAGAGTGAATAGAGAGTCCATATAGATTAACCAACTCGAGTCAAGTGTTGGGCTAGTAATAATATACTAAGTACGCAGAGATGAATATTAATTGTATTAAGGGAATAAAAACACTGAAAGACTAATGTGCTATTACATAACATTCTAAATTAGTGAACTACTGAGATAGTGTCTAATGCTAGGGATGACCTCACCTGACTTTGATAAGTTCGATATCGAGTAACTGAGTTACTATTTTTGCCCTTGCATAACATTGGTTGACTAGTGTGTTGAGACGTTTAGCTCTTTAGAAGAACTTAGTGATAAAGATGAGATAATAATGTAATGATAATGATATATGTGTCATAATCATAAGAACCTTATGAGGTAAGATTCCATAAAACTAGCCTTTGTGTGACATTCGAGAAACAAGGACACTCGAGTTACTTTAGAAGTATGACGATCGTATTGTGTGTATAGATTATCTAGTTATATCATGATTAGTCTGAGGGCTCTTTAGATACTAGTTGGACTTGTACTTATGCTATGTGACCCAAACACGTTCTGAGTACTTTACAGTAGTCGACTATCCATGCAACAACCAACATTATGTGACCTGGACCTAACATAAGATACTTGTGAGGTGCCGATGCTATATGACCCAAACCACACCTAGGGTACTTGTGAGATGTTGATGTTATGTGACCCATATCTTACCTAAGGTACCTCTATTAAGAAAAGAGGGTGTGAGTTTTGTGATGCTAAAGTGACCCTGAACTACACCATGATGCTTACTTATTGTTTGTGTATTTGTGCCTGCATCTTTTTGATGTCGGGTACTATCATTCTGTGTTGCATGATGATGCATTGTAGGATGATACTGAGGTTACTAAGGGAAATGTGAGACTTACACTAAGAGGTAGAACTGTTGAACCTTAAGTAGGTAGCACTTGATTAGGATCATGCATGTAGTTATTATTTATTACCATGTATTCTAGCATGCTTATGTTTATGAGATTCATATGTTTCTCTATATTAGCGATTATACTATTGGGTTTCGTAAGCTCAGTGTTCGGATGTTTTCATTCACATGTTAGTATATTGAGTCGTTCGAGGAGCATCGTTGCAATAGGACTTCCAACATTCCTCACAAGAGTACTAGTTGGTTACTTTTAGCGGGCTTTTGTATTTATAGGGCCTTTACTTATGTATAGAGATTTGTAAACTTTGAGTTGTATTATTTGATTTAAACTATGTGTCACGGAGCTCCGATTTATAAAAGTATTTTATTACTGTTTTAAACTATTGATTTTTAAATGATGGTTATGAGTATTGATTTCAAAAAACTGGTTAGCCACTTCAGTGGTTCCGTATTATATATTAATCTCTAGATTTCGGGTTGGATCGGATTAGGGTGTTATATTTATTGGTATTAGAGTGTCAGGTTGAGTCAGTCCTAGGACCCAATGGTAAGTTATAGTAAGGTGTTAGTGTTGACGTCTTTGTGTGTATATGAGTGTGAGCTATATACAACACATAGCAGTATGTAGCATTGTGCAATACCATGGGTTATAATGCTTGAGTCTAAAAGAGGCCAAGTATATAAAACGTCGCTTGACTAGCATTGGCCATCAGTGAATAACACAGTGATAGTAAGAAATCATGGGTACAAGAAGTAGAGTCATAGAATCCTTAATTTAGAGTGTGGTTGCAAAATATATTCACTTTATGTTGCGTACTCTCAAGGAAAGTTAGATGTTGCTAGTTTTACTAAGTAAGGGGTCAATTTTCAATTGTGGTTACCTTAGATGCACGAGCTGGTGATTAGTGCATACGTGAATTGTAAGGAAAATAAGAATAGTCGAGTATTATAGATGAATATTGAATCAGATTTACACAGCGGAAACGTATAAAACAAGGAGTAGAAAGTTTGGAATCGCCACCATATCTTTAGTAATCGACTTCAAGGACATTTATGGCAAGTGTTTGTAGGACCTCAATGGGTGGTACAATGAGTTACTAAGTGCAGAAAGTAACAATGATTTACAAAATTATGTGGTATGTTAATTTGGTTGAGTAGAGTTAGCCAATGAAAGAGGTTTTATGATAGTAGTTTGAATCGTGGAGTAGCGTTATCCTTGTGAACAGTTTTGAACTTTCAGTATTAGACAAAAAGAAGAAGATTCTTTGGATTTGTACCTCTCGAAGGTTTTTGCTTAAGTTTCGATGTAGGTAACGTCCTTTAAAAAACCATAGATCGACTTTTTGAGTTCTGAGTTGCATGTCATGTTGCGGGAAATTTTTCTCAGAAGATCAGAATGGATAAAAGTTTAGGCTCTCTGAGGCTTCTGAGTATTAAACCCAAAAATAGCTTCGTTATTCAATCCAAGTAAATTTCGAGGATGAAATTTATTTTAAGAAGGGGAGAGTTTTAACACCTTAAATTTTGGGCTAGTAGTTTTGGGTTTACCCGTGGACCTCGAGGAGTTTGTAATTAAAGTCGTTGGGCCAAGTGTGAGATTGATTGTATGTGAATTGAGTCTAAAAGGTCATAAAAATGAGGTTTTTGCATATAAGGTAAAATATGAGGGACTAAAACTGTAGTTATGACATTGTTAAAAATG